AAACTCGTGTTTAGTTAATAAGAAGTGACAAGACATGCAAAGGGAAAGCAAGGTGTGACAAACACTGCTGAGTGAGAGGCTGAAAAAGGGTGGTGTCTAGAGAAAGGTATTCCTGGGGAACCGATGTGTCTCGTCCCACCTTCTATTTTACAGCTACACAGGAAGCTATAAGAGCAGCAGGAAAAAGAGCGTGTATCACACCACCCTTTGGTACCGAACATGCATTCTGCCAATGGAGATGTGGAGAAGACAATTCACCTTAGCAGTCCTTCTGCCTCTTCCTGGTTTGGTACTTTGTGGAGGTGGGATAATGGCTATGGAGTCATGTGGTGAGGACTGGACAGGGCTTTCCAAGTCCTGCTTTACGCCATTCGGTACTGACAGTCCTCTGGAAGGGCTTCCCACAAAAGGGTTCGGGGAGGATTTGATATGGAAGCCGTTCTGTTCTCTTTCAGATACCCCATTCTGAGTTCTCACAGCAGGCTGGGTCTGTGTGCTTGGAAAGGGCCACTGGCCTGCCTGAGTCTCCTGTTTGCCAGTCCGGTTGGAAATTTGGTCAAACTGCTGACCAAAGTAATCAACATCACCATTCAGGGGCCCATTACTTAGTGGAGGAGACACGCTACTCAAATTCTCTTTCTTCTGATCTGGAGATTTGAGAGAATCAAACGAAGAGGGTGTCGATTGGTCTGGCTGAGTGAAAGGATCATCACGGAAAGGATCAGGATTAGGGGTGGGAAAGAAGTTGAGATTGGCAGAAAAAGCATTTTCAGGCAAGAAGGATGCCTGAGGCTTTGGTCGTGGAAGAGAGCAGGAGGTGATGCCATTTGTTAAGAATGGATTTTCTTGTAAAGAATTCTGATTGGTGTCGATTTCAGAGTTTAGATCCACTAACAGGATATCTTTGCTTTCCTATCATATTTGGAAAGAAAAAAAAAAAAAGAGTTAGTTCATGTTGTGACTTCAAACGAGTCAGCCACATAAGATTACCAGGTTAATCAAAATTCCCATTAGAATCTGATCTTGACAAACTACTGACCATCATCTACTCCCGTCATCAACCTGTGTGCATTTGCAAGTTTTATAATAGATATTCCCTGCCTGGCCTCTCCTGCTGTCCTTTTATTTAAATCTGAACTTTATTGGCCCTTGAATAACTATAATATTACTGTTGATTATTTTATTCAGGTTTCTGTTCACTCTGGTTCACATATATAGACTGGCTGAGTTTATAGTCATCATTGTTTCAATTCAGGGCTTAGAAAGTCTTAAGGAGACTAGCAATCAATCCCCTTTAAATGATTTTCTAAGTAAGTATACTGAGCTTGAAAGAAAGAAGTGACCTCAGAAGCCTAGCCCAGCTTCCTATCCGATAGACCAATCTATTTTACTACACCCTCAAAGTCATCTATAGCGTCACCTGTCTAAATCAGTGAACTGGTAGGGTAATACTTTCATATTTTATCATTCTGGATTCTTTCATATTTTATATTCACATTTTATCATTGTTCTGAAGTTTAATGTCAAACACATTTTCCTATAATTGGTTCAGTTTTGTCCTCTGGGGTAGGAGTAGGGGTTTTCCCCTTACATAACAACTATCAACTATGCTTCTTTAAATATTCAAAATGCTTGTTGAAGGTACCAGCCAAGGTGGTTTTTCATCCTCACCACCCTAGACTCTCCTCTGGATATAACCTTTCTGTTGATGTCCTTCTAGGAAAGTGACATTCAAAATACTGATATCATTTAGCATTATCTATCACATTTCTTTCCCTTGTTATATATTTTCTTATAACATAGCTTGGAGGTGCCTAGCTTTTGATAGTCACCACATCTATTTAGTGGTTGAATTCAACTAATACTTAATCTTTAATTTATGTCTAGGATGAAGAAGTGGATCTAAAACTCAATATGAAAAATATATCAGATATGTAACTCATTACTGTAAATATGTTTCACTTAACCTCCATTTGGAGAACGTCCAATGTTGTGTATACATCTGTGCTCCCATAAAGATTTTTTGTATTTTTAAAGGAAAAGGATTTCTCTTCTTGTTTATTTATCCCTGATGGTTTTGAAGACTCCAGACCCAGGCTTCTGCAGCACTGGATCGTGAGTGGGACATAGGCAGGTGAGGCAGAGGACACGGCTCTGGGTATGGGCTCTCTGGCTGTGTCTGGTGAGTGGGCGGAAGCTATGGCTTGGGGCTGGCATGCTCCTGCCGCTCAGGTGGGTGAAGACAGGGCAGGGCAGTGTGCACTCTGCTCCTTCCCCGTTTGCTTCCTCTCCTCTGCTCCCACCACGGCTGCCAGTTCCTCCAGCCTCCACCAGCAGCAGCAGTGGTGACAAAGATAACTGGATGTGGGCTCCCATAAGACTTTGCTATGGTGTTTGCACAATGTCCAAATCTCATAATATCCTACTTCACAGAATGTATCATGGACATTAGACAACACATACCAGTAACCCTTATTCCCTTTTTATCATTTTTTTTTTTTTCTGCTTTGTTTATTATCTGGGTTCTAAATTGATAGATAATCTTCCTGGTATAAAAGCAGCAAAAATGATGAATGTTACATGCCTTTATCTAAGTCAATGACATAACTAATTAGAATTCATCCTGGGATACAGCTGTCATACTGACAGACCTTCCTACTGACT